TAAGACTTAATTTACGTAAATGCATTGTTTTGTAAATTGCAACGTCCTTGCTAATTTCCAATCAGTACATTATCTAAATAAAATGATAATTTCTTTCGTAACTTTCTATACAGGGTTATCGAAAGTGCTATAAACATTAAATAACAAAAATTATTGGATCGTAGAGAATATGAAGGGCTGTTACACAACTAGATCGAGTCACTTAAATTATAGAAGAATTTAACACGAATCTATAAGAATTTAAAATAAAAATTATTATTCAAAATATCGTAATTATGTAACACGGAGATTCAAATTTGATCGCTGTTAGAATTTTAAGTATTAAAAAAACTTTCTCTTCAACGAATATATCATGATAAAAAAATCGAAACAAAATTTGTTTTATTATCTGTGGTATAAAAAAACTATAAATACTGGCAACATTGGTTAGCCGTCTTATTAGATTCGCGTGATGCTATCAATTAGAGGTCGGCCATAATTATTGTTATTTACTGTCACGGCCCTCGTTTAAAACCAGATGCTTTGTAATTAAAAAAGCATTATTAAACCGCTTCATACTTCAATATGATCAGTTACAAAAGAGTATTTAATATAGCTAGGCTGTATGTTTTGGACCTTGTGTTTTTAAAAATAATCTATATATATATATATATATATATATAGATTAGATAGATTAAATCTTCATTTACATCATTCATTTCTGACATATCTCCGTCTTCAGCCAGACATTATTTTCATGATAAGGATCAAGACACAGATTATTTTTCTTTATTTTATCTGTGATTTTTTTATATCACGGCTGCATATATTATGGTCGATGATATATTTCTTTCTAATGTTCTGAACTATTTGAAAATATACTCCAAGTTTATATGTACATAAGTTTTTAATATATTTATTACAAATTAATAAGCTTTTATTAAAAATACCATAATTGAGTCATAGCACTTAATAGGAGCGCTAGTTCTAATAAAGAAAATAATTTTAAACTTCATTCGTTTTATTTTTTTTTATTATACAATAAATTAAAAATAGAACATTAATACTGGTCATCTTAAAATATAAACATTAAAAAATAATGCTGGCCGTCTACAAAAAATTCTTCTTTGTCACCAAAAAAAAAAACAAAACAATAGATCTCTCAAATCTAACACATCTCAACTTATCAACAAATTCTACTTTAATTATAAGACCATATGACATTACTATACCTCTGTACACATATTTTCTTTGAGTGCCCGCGTCCAATTTATGTTTGACATTACTTTAGCCCGTGACTTTCCCTGGCAATTTCACTTTCATGACTGATGATTGTTTTACAAACGTGTTTCATATAGGCCTAAGTTGACAAAATATATTGACGATTATAATAATTTTATTTAGGAACTAACTTCGTCATTGTATCCTTATGATTTTCTTTGTTTAGTCTACATATATATTTTTTTTACTACTAAACTATACGTTTAAAACTTGTACTAGTAACATATGGTACTCATGTAGTGTCGTGTGCAGAATGTACAACAAAATTAAGGTAATTTCAGCGTTAAAAATCTCCATTTAATTCTGTATTTAGACTTTAGGTAACATAAACTAAGTGCTTGGCGTCTTTCCAACATTTTATAAGATCTCTGTCTCATGACGAGCAAAGCAAGACGAGTATTTTGTCTTTTTAAAACTTTGAATAAAGTAATATGCATTATACCTTTACAACAAGATGTAATAGGCGCTGAATACTATAATTTCGATGTTTATATGCTTTCAAAATGATGAAAGTGTAAGTATTTAAGTAGATAAATAACTACACGTGTAACACGTATTAAGGATACTTACAGTACATAAGTAATCTGATTGCTACTGTAATTATTGGTATGTATAAAACTGTAAATAAATAATGAAAAACATATAAATATTCTTAAAAATCTAAATATATTTTTCATCAAAATTCGGAAACATTTCAATGAAGGCTATCTTGTCTTTTATGGCCTTTCAACGTGAAAAGGCTCTATGATAATGTTGACACAGTAAGTAGTACGCCGGCCTAGAAAATATCAAAGCGGAATTTCTGGTCTAAAAATAATATACTTGTATGTATGACTTATTCCATATTCTCAGAATATATATTTTTATAATTCTTTGATTTCTCGTGAATCCCTACTAATATTATAAATGCGAAAGTAACTCTGTCTGTCTGTTACGCTTTCACGCCTAAACCACTGAAATGATTTCAAAGAAATTTGGTACAGACAGAGTTGACCTTGAGAAAGAACATAGGATAGTTTTTATCCCAGACTTTTGAAAGGTTCTCTTTTAAACGCGATATAATTGAACTCCACGCGACGCTGCGGGCGAAAAGCTAGTTATATAAAATCATTTGTATATTTGTTTATTGTAAATTAGACTTTATATAGATATATTTAGGTGTTATAGTACGTGTGATGCTGCATGTAGCATCTAGTTTCTTAACATCCGGTGATCATCTCGATTGTATTATCAATGTGACGGGTCGATAAGATTGTTGTTCAAGGCGCGATGTTGATTGTGACTTATAAGGTTCTTAAGTAATGTCTATTGAATGACGAAATATATAAAACGCTACTAACTAGAAAAAGAATATCTATTACACTGCCCAACACATATTTTTTTTCCTTTATTTTTTTCACTGTTATTAGTTATTTCTATGTCCCTGAATATGAAAAAAATACTAAAAAAATTCTAACAGCTTTAGTTTTTGAAATATATATTTTTTATTATTTTGACCAAAAATTCAGAAAATTAATACAAAATGTTTTATAAAATACAATGAAATGATCTTTTATAGGAATTTCTTGACTGAACGACTTCAGATAGATTTCGTTGCTAACTCCAGCAGTAGTTTGCCATCATATGTGAGTCCCACCGCCCCTGATAACGCTCTTCCAATGTCCTGGACCCTGGAGGAATCTTTCACCCTGCTCTTTACAGTAATCATCCAGATTTTTTGGAAATCGGTCTAAATGCGAGCGCAGGAAGTGGATTTTATGCTAATGTTGCACCCTAGTTGTTTTAAATTCGATAGCATGGCCTCAACAAGCTCCACGTAGTCGTCAGATTCATTTTTGCCTAAGAAATTACTAATAACCAAAAAAAATGAATTCTAAGGTTTCGATTCCACTTTAGTCATTGATTTGACAAAATCAGAATCTTTCACGAGTTGCGTGATCTGTTCTTGAGGTTCTTGGCTAGATTTGTAGACTGAATAAGAATCTTCACTTGATGAATTTCGTTCGGGTTCACAGGGATTCGGGTCATCAGAAGATTTATATTTACCAAGTTGTACCTCTCATGATTTTAATTGGGGTCGTTGGGTAGAAGACAAGTTAGGATGTGGCCACTTATTTCGATTGCCAGGATTAATTTCTTTTACTTTCATAACGCAAAAGTATCAGTCGTCATGATCGTGTTAAGGTTCTCGCACCTGACCACCTGTGTTTCGAATATTACTGCATCTCTGTTTCTATTGGACCACAATAGTAGCCATACAACACATTTTTCACATACAACATGAGGAAGCCACGGCTTGTTCTGATTAAACAATTTTATTTTAAAGTATTGTTGATACACATTTTTCACAAGTTCGACATAGGTTTTCGATACTTTGCAAATACATATTCACTAGAAATATAACAAAAAGAGTCGGGATTAAGCACACAACATCTTCTTGACGAAACCATGTCGAAAACAGCAACAAAATATGTTGCAGTGTCGAATATAAAATGCATATGTAGATAAGTAGTAAATGAGGGTAGTTAGCTGTAACTCAAAAACAAAAGCTGTTAGAGGAAAACTGTTTCGAAATTTAAAAAATATACGTCAATTTAAGATAGAAACAAGAAAAACATTAAAGGAAACAAACAACTTTTATTTTTTTGTTGACCAGTGTTATCCATGTTTTGTCCTACAGATGTATTTTAAGTGAAATTTAGGCCTTTTCTTGTCATCCTGTTAAAATAATTTTAAGTACTTGTAATTATATCAATGGAAACTAGTCGAAACTAACTTACTGATTAGGATTGCTGTAAAGTAACCGAATTGTAAGTAATAAAGTTATTTTCATTTGATTCTTTAATAATAAAAAAATTCAATCTAAATTAAAGTATTCCACTAAGAATTCTCATTAATTCGTATAATTTTAAACTCGAAAAGAATGAGGCTAACTTACCATACTCGTTTTGCAGTTTGTAAACTAATTATTTCCTATATTAAAGTATGGAGACAACAGTTTTCTATTGTAATATTTAAATTTGTCACGAAACAACAGGATTTGATACATAAATTAAGTATACAATAATATATTATAAGTTACTAGATTTAAAATCAACCGTTTTATAAATTTATCTGTACGGAAACATGAAATTATTATTCCATTTTCGCCTTTTATACTTACTTTCTTTAACTGAGAATTAAGTGAATAAATTTTTTGTAAGAACTTTTTTTAAAATAAAATACTTAGTAATATTTTAAATACGAAAATATTTGAATGTGGACGTTCATCAAATTTACAATTTTTATTTGTTATATATATTATAATGAATAAATTTGGACTAGGAAGAAATATTGTAGAAACAATATCTTAATGAAAACTTGAAATATAATGTTATTTAATATTTATATTACTTAGATAATTAATATTTATTGACTCACTATAATATTAAAATTATTTATACAACTACACACTAAACTGTATTTATTATCGTTTGTATTATAAACATTCAATTATCATTAGCTAAATTATATTTGTTCAAGATTCCATATCTATTCCAGGAATATGGTATGATTATTTATTTTCCATTTTTCCAGTATTTATCTCCGAGCCATGCGACCATCACTGTCACTTCATGCGAGAACATCATCGTGAAAACATCACTAGAGTTATCTAATATATAGATATAAACATAAGTGGAATAAATAGTATAGTATAGAAGTTGTGTTATAGTGTTAGTGTGTGGTGGACTGTATAGACTATGGCGACGACCGGCAGTGAAATGTGGCTACAGTGGTTCGCTTGTTGCTACCAGCCGGCTGCGCAGGCGCAGCGCACGCGACGACGAATAGACAGGTCCATGATCGGAGAACCGACGAACTTTCAACATACAGGACATATAGGTAAATAAAATTATATATTATAATACATTCTTATAGTATTTTATAAATATAAGTCTTGTTCTGATGCGATTTGTTTCATAATACATCCATCAACTGAGATGACAATGGTATAAAATGTATACAAAATAATGTGACCATGTTTTGGCTGCATAATGAAACGCTCGGGAATTGATCTTCGGGAGAAAATTAATTAAATATTTATATGATATTATAAAACCGTTACAAAATATAGTAACAATAAAAACAATACTATTAATTTATAAATTTCAAATAATATAATCTTCTTATAAAAATACTTATGTAACATTTTTTTAGATCTAAAAATACTAAAAACGTTTGGATTTTGTAAACATTACAGACTACATAAAAATATTATATTCGTATTTCGTTCATACAAATATACCAATAATTGAAGTCGATTATCAACATAGTAAACATTGAAGTATAGTATCGTACTTACTGAAGCTGTAATGTAATTTTTTTTATCATCAAGTGCCACTTCAAACGTTCAACGTCTTCTTTAAGTGATGGCTCGATAAGCCTGTCAAATCTTCTAGAAACATAATCCGTATATTGACAACAGACGCCATTATTTGAAACGAAACAGAAAGTGAATTAAACTTGATAAAGAACGTTCTAGAATAAACTGAACTTGTAACTTATGGATGGACATAAATTAATATATTGACGTTTATATATACAGGGTGACTGGTGAATTACTATCAATATTTAAGGAGAATACTCGGTACATGATTCTCATTCGAATTATGTAAAAAAAATAGGCACTTAATTTTTGTCAAAATTTCCGTATAAATAAATAAAGTGTTGACACGTTCCAAGTGTTTCAAGTGTGGACGCGTGCGGCGGCGTGCTGATACAACACTACGCCGCCACATGTGTGTGTGTGCGTGGGTATACCTAATCTGTAGGGTGTTCACACGATGCGTAATTAATTACATAACTTTTGGTTAACTTTACTTAGAAGTTTATTAATATTTATGTTATATTAATTTTTATTTTGTCATATATGATCGTCAAATATCACGTCCTCAAATATCTATAGTAATTCACCAGTCACCCTGTATAATAGGTCCCAAAGAGGGTTGATGTCAGGCAGGCGGCCGGTAGTAAAATTGGCCAAAACTATTCACAACATGTAACGCAGACCCTGGCTAAAGCTGAGAAATTGCCAGGAAGAAGAAGAGTTTATATATAATTTAAGTTCGATAATATTTTCGGAGTATATATTTGGTTTTCAAGTTTGAAGCGTCTGTCCCTAATCTTAAACACGAGTAAGAAATTTTATACGTATCAATCCCCTTCAACTGTTTTATTTATATATATTTTCGGAAATATGTTATTTTTAAAAATACACATATTATTGGACACCGTTTTTATATTAAAATAATCAAAGATCTTTATCCCAAAATAATAAAGAGATAAAATCGGTATTTTTTATAATTGAATATTATACTGATGTTGCATTGATTCTGAAATAAACTTATTCCGAACTAAGAGTAATAATTATTAAATATTCAGCCAAAGTTTACAAAGCATTCACAACATTTCTTGTGTGGCGGTTGTATGAGCGACGATGAAAACTCGTTTGTCACCTTTCTCATAAAAAAATATTACTATTGAAAATAATTACTATAATCATAATAATGACATAATTCCATGGACATAATTGTGTTTAGTTCGTATTATAATATGTTAGGATGTTATGAACATATGTTATTAAGGAATCGATGTCTGTAATCTAGTCTCTTTCATTCTCTTTTTACCAACTGAGACTAAGAAGTAGTAAGTTTTTAATGCTCTTTATATATATATGGAATGCTGAATGTTAGGATGACCGTCTGTCTCTTAATGATTCATTTATACGAGTACATATAGTTCTAGTTGATACTTGCATCTGTTAAAGAAATATTTTGTGTGTAACTTCAGAAATAATTTATATGTAAAAAAATATACTTTTAGTGGAGTTAAAATATTGTTACGAAATGAATTACATACGATCAAAAGTAATATTTTTTCATGGTTTTATTTTATACAAAATAAACTTAATAATAACTCTACAGTTTAAAGGAATAATTATATATATACAATTTCTGTTATGCTTAGAAAAAATATTCGCCCAAACTAAAATTCAACGTAACATTTTTAAATTCCCAGTCATTGCATTGCATTAGCATACAAATGTATGATGTTATATAAATATATATATGTTTAGTATGCAACACGCAGCTACCACCAAACTAGGTCTGAGGGTAGTCAGACCTGCCTTATAAGTGAATGTGACGGTAGAAACATATTAACGATCACCAACTATCAATTGAAGAACATTTACATGAGCAGCGAGACGCTTAGAAAGAATGTATAGACAATTAATATATTATATAATATTAAAACAAGAACTGGGTTGTTATGTAATTAAAATTTATTATTAGGTTATATAATGAAATATATTTAAATTTGTTTTTATAAAATATCAACGGTCTACGAATCGTTTCGAGTGGACAAAAATTTTTATCTGTATTACATTTTTCTTTATTAATGAATGAAATGTATGAATTGAAATCAAATTATATAGAAAATTTAATTAAAAATATAATGCGTTTTACTACTGGGAATCAATATTTTAATTATAGCTATTAAATTCCTATAATTGCCTATTAATTTTCATATTGTATTATATAATATTTAAAAATAATTTCTAATAATATTATATTTATTTAATATCAAATGGTTTATGTAGCAATACATTTTTATAAAGCGATGTTCTGACTTGTAATGTAAGTCGTTTTAGCAAATTATTATGAGTCATGTGTTTAGTTGGCGGTCTTTGTCAAGCTTCAATGAATTAATGTTATCGATTAATGAAAATCGATCGTCAGTCGGTACACTTCAAACGAGCCCCAGTCTTATCACAAAAAAGTATTAACAAGGTACAAACAATCGATTTGAAATATGTTGAATCGATTTTTTTAATTCGATTACTCAGAGCAACCATGATCACAGGCAGATTGTGTGAAAAATAATACAATTACGTAATTAATGGGATTTAAATCTTTCGTTAGTATTGATTTAAATGAAACTAATAGTTTTTGAATATACTACTCGTTAGTATTGTAAAAACTACATACTACCGACGTTTCAGTGTGACATCTCGTCTGCTCGTGATCACGGTTGCTGAAAAGTAACCGAAACATCAGGACTATGTAGTTTTTACAAAAATAAGTACACATAGTATATCTGAAAAATATTAGTTACATTTAAATGATAAAAAATTATCTGGAAAACTTTATTTCATTTCAATTTTAAGACTTAATACATATTTTTATAAACATTTCCAAAATGACTTCCCTCAGTCACTTCGGAGTGAATAACCCAGCTTAAACATACAAATATTATGTTACTTGGTACGTTTTACGACTGTTCACCCTAACTTAGTGCGATCAATACTTTTGTATTCGATCAAGAATACGACTGAGTCTTTCAATATATATTTAGATCGCTGATGTACGCTTTCAATGAATTAAAATAACTGACAAGACGCCCTCCGTGGATAATAACTCGCAAGTATATGACTCATAATGATTCTTTCAAATGTATTTCATTTTACAACTCTAGTTTGTTAATTTTTTGGCGCGTAATATTACTATAAAAGAGGTTCTTGTACACAAATAATTCCGATGTATGTAAAATTTATTACACGTTTAGGTGTATTAAATTAAAATATAGGTAAGAATAATAATTGTAAGGTTAATTACTTATTAATTCAGCTAGGGAGCCTAATGTTTCAATAATTTTAGTATTCTTATATCTTCGTATATTACATATCCTTATTATTCTAACAAACTGAAGATAGAAAAATTGTTGATTTTACTGTTTATATTTATTGTGACCGTCGCGTGCGAAGATTTAAATATAAAATTTATGTATCTAGAAAAATAATTATAGTAATATAAAAAATATTTAATTAATTAATTACTAAAGATAGTTTAAATTGTTCATCGTAATATAATCGTATTATATTATAATGGTTATTAATTATTATGATTATATAAAGATGCGCCTGCGCCAGTTGCGAAACAATGACTACGGTTTTAAATTACAAATTAATATACAATTTGTAGAACACTTACAATGAACACAAAACAACGCCCTGTCAGCGATATTCGTTTTGCAATATAAATATAATTGTGATTGAGGTTAATTAAAAAATATTTTTTTTAGTATAAAAGTATTAATCATGACAAACTATAATAAAAATTTATACTGATACAAATTAAATGAAATTAAGTTCAAAGACTAAAAGAAATAAAGAAAAAACTATATTTTGATAAAATATCTATAATCCTAACATAGTGTATATGTAATATATCAAATTATTATTTCTTTTTGAATCAGAGTAAAGTGTTGTTCATTTGTGACAACCAATTGTAATCTTCTATAAGTTTTTGTCACTAAATTGTTAGTTTCCGTCGTCATATCCTTGAGAACTATATGATAACTTTAATTTATATTTATGTTGTGGTATGTCGCTATGTTTATACAGGCTATTTATATTAATTTTAATAATTTATATTCACTAACACATTCAAAAGGTTAAAGAAATATTAAACAAACGAAAATAGATATAGCATATTTATTTTGTTTAGGGGCTATTCAAGTATTACGTAAGCACTATGGAGGGGCGGGGGGGTCTGTGCTTTGCTTATTTTGGATGACATGGGGGTAGGGGAGTCTAGGTATCGATTACGTCATCGGTAGTTATTAATTTTTAATCCTCACATCGAGTAGATCCATAAAAAAATACAATTATATTTTTTTTCTGGACTTGTATTGAAAAAAATAGTAATTGGAAATGTTTACGTAAGCATGGGGGGAGGGCGTAAGAGCTTTGCTTACTTTTGCTGACAATGGGGATGGGGGGTAAATATTTGTAATGAATCTGCTTACGTAATACTTGAACGGCCCCTTAAATACACAAAGATTTTTAAGTTGAATCAAATTTATACGGAAAAAAGCGTGACAGACACATGACCTTCGACATGAGGCCGTCGTAATAAAGATAAATGTTCTCGCCGTGAACTTTTTACTTTATTATATACATGGCTATTGTGTGCTTAAAAAATACATTCATTTCTCATGCTAATTGTACTATTTGCTTACCCATGCGACTTTATATGAAAATTTATAACACTTGCTGTATGTGTAATAAACTGTTTAAATTAAATTTGTAGGCTCTGAAAAGGTTTTATATAACGTGGCTGTAAAGTATTGAATCTAAGTAAAGTCCACAAAAAAGAAAACTTTTCTCTTGTATCGTTAATTTCTAATATTAAGTGTATGCAAAACTGTTTCGTCTTCAAACAACACCTCTTAACATAGAAAAAAATATTATAAATTTGCGTAACCCAAAATATACATATAATTTTATATAGGTATACAGGGTGACTGGTGAATTACTATCAATATTTAAGGAGCATACTCGGTACATGATTCTCATTCGAATTATGTAAAAAAAATAGGCACTTAATTTTGACAAAATTTCCGTATAAATAAATAAAGTGTTGACACGTTCCAAGTGTTCCAAGTGTGGACGCGTGCGGCGGCGTGCTGATATAACACCACGCCGCCGCACGCCTATGTGTGAGTGTGTGTGTATACCTAATCTGTAGGGTGTTCACACGATGCGTAATTAATTACATAACTTTTGGTTAACTTTACTTAGAAGTTTATTAATATTTATGTTATATTAATTTTTATTTTGTCATATATGATCGTCAAATATCACATCCTCAAGTATCGATAGTAATTCACCAGTCACCCTGTATAATTAAATATAGTTATATACAATGTAATTATTTTTTGCTCTGTATGACAGTATTTAAACGACAACGTGTAACATAAACCCCAAGATCTGTACATTAGACAACTGACACATTATTAAACGAAGGTCAATTCTTTTTCAATAAAAGCTTTAATTATTTAATATATTTAGAAGAAAAGATAGATATTACTCGAAATACGATTGCTTTGAAATTTTTCATAAATATTTAGAAACAATTAGCAATACTAATTGTATGGTACTTATCATTAATTTTGGAAAACCTCGCATTCCTTATAATAATATTTTTTGTAGTTATTCTTATTATTAAGTAAATTCATATTATATGGTGATTTATTTTTAAATACTGAAAGATCTTAATTTAAGAATTGTCTATCGTCTTTAAAGAGACACTTATTCATAAAATACTTTTAGTATCTCTCTGAAAATTCATTCTATATCCAAGTATACGTAATTTCTGAAAAATATCTTACACAAATATGTTCTAATAATTGAATAAATCTTTTTAAGTAAGTCAAAATAGTTATCGGATCTAAATACATAAATTTATGTCTAATATAAAATAATTAATAATCTAATGACGACTAACAAACAAGCATCTATTACGACTGGAAGTATCCCAACACTCTATCCACAAAATAAAAACTAGTTTTTGCCCGCGACTTCGTCCGCGTTAGTTTCAGAATTCGAAATGTATAGCTGACTCGCCGAATTATAGTTCTCCTTAAAGACAGTAGATAAGAAGATTTTGGATTTAATAATTTTTTTTTTCCTTTTTAGTGGCATCAAAAGTATCCTATATCCTTTTCCTAGTTTTAAGCTACATCTCCACCAATTTTCAGTCAAACCCATGCAGTCGTTCTTGAGTTATAAGTAGTGTAACTAACACTACTTTCATTTATATAATATATGTAAAACATTACATTTATTTCACTGTCTCGTTTCAACACTCGCGACCTCCAATAAATAACACGAAAACATTCACTGTCTATTCTTATATATCTATATCATTGTATTTATTACATTAATACTTATTTTTAAAGATACTTTATTTTCTCAAAAAGAAATTACATTTCACTTACTGGAGAAAACTATGACTATAAACATATTTTAAATTAAATTTCGACAATCATAATAAATGTATTAATAGTTTAACATATTCTTACAATAAATTTTATTATTATAACAATATATTTATTTTATGATGTTAATACTCCAGGGTCGTCGGAGGTGGAGATGCCTTCGTCACTTCTTCACTCCATACAGAATCAGATGCAAAGCAAGGGCGGATATGAAATGGCTTACGGAGTTAAGGTAACATACAATATTAATATAACATAGAAAAATTATTTTAAGACTTATTTTAGTCGGTACTATTATATTTTTTCTAAATTACTTTTTAAATAAAATCAATTAATTCTTACTACTGAACTTTGATAGTACCGTTGTTGTTATTTTGATAACTGTAGCAGAAATTATTAATCAAAATCTTTATATATATTACTCAATTTTGAACCATAAATTCGTAATTTTGTTGGTATCGATTTCTATATTTTTCAAATTTGAATCGATTTTTTTAAATATTAAGAACATAAACTTAACATAAATTAGCAATTTTAAAAGAAAGTTTCTAATAATTCTGTTTCGTAAATATAATTCATTGTATTACGTAAAAAAGTCTAATAAATATTTTCGTTTTTCCAGGTGTATTAAGCCGCGTATGGAAGCTTCTGGAACGTATAATTTTTAAAGTCTATTGATCTTAATCTGTATTTATTAAAGATTAGTATAAGTCTAGTGTATTAGTCCTCCAGTAAGACATCACTCACAGAGTCGGTCGAACGTACAAGTTACCTTGTTGGCGAGTGTTGCACTACTTTGTACCAAATAATTTTTTGTTTGTAAGTCGTCTAAATTAATATGGTGCTTATAGCTATGTCAATATTATAGCAGATCTGTGAAGAATTAAGGATTTAAAAAGAAAAGATGACGCACCACTACCATCGACTTGACGAGTAATGACGCCATTTTTTTCGTATATTGTAAATATTTTGTTCACAATCATTGTCAGTCAAAATTAATATATAATTTAAAGAAATCTTGTTCTATATACTGAGGGAGTTTAAAATATAACTTTATTTATCTTAAAAAGTTAACGCACATGTTGAATATGTGAATTAACTAAAGTTCGGCCGCTCAGAGAATGCGTTTCTGACATGTCTATTCGTCTTGACTGTATTTTTACAATTAATAAAAGTACTACATATTGCAAAATTTTTAATAGGAATTACAGTTCAAACACAGTGTAAATAAAATCTTTCTTTTATTATTATTGAATTAAGATTTCTAATAGTAAGTTCTAAGTTACATCTAGTTTCAAAGACGTCTGTCAGAAACGCAAACTGAGCGGCCGGACTCAATTTGAATATCCAATTGATTATACATAATTGCTTCCAAAAGACCGACAGATATTAAAAGTTTTTGTAATTGACTTCTTAGTAATTCGCTAAAATCTTTCAGTTTTTATTTAGTCATAATTAAAATCATTGTATTTTTCTTATTTATATAATTACTTGGTGCGACTCAGTCTACAAGTTTCGTATCAACATGTCCATATTTAGTCTGTTATGTGTGTGTTTGTCTGTAGTCAAATATTGTCATGTATAGTGTAAGTTTGTACCGTTTCTTCCACTTATTATTAAATATATTATTATCGGTCTTCATGCCCAATCTCTTTGGGCATACGAATGACTAAGAGATTACAAATACTGTTTTAGTGAAATTGAGCAGCGGTTTTAAACTATCTGACGTTAGTTTTCATGATTCTTGACAATTTTTATTTTCAATGTTCCTCAGTATAGTAAAATATTTATTAAAAGTTTTTATCGCGTTCTACATTTCTAAATGTGAGACAACCCTATCGTTTTCTCTGTTATAGTTTTCAAAGATATCGTCTTTTAATATAAAACCGCTGCTTCTCTTAGAGTTTTTTTACCTATTTACACTCCACTAACATGCCAATTAAATATTTAGTGAAAATGTTAATAATTTTGTCATTTTATTGTTAAAAAGACAAAGTTGTGTTCAACTACATACATAAATAGTTATTTATACATTGTAAAGCAATAATCTGTTTGAAAACACGAAATGTGGAAAGATTTTATTTTGTTTTATTTCCTTTCTCCAGAGTTATTTCTTTTATCTTATTTGTAACGTTATCAACCTTCGTAACCAGATATATGCCGGTAATAGATTATGAGAACCTTGTACTTAAAGCCCAAAGATATGATCATTGTATCACGTAATAAAATAAAGAAATGTTTACATAATGTACCGGCGGTACCGCTATTTTGTATTATTCTAGAAGAAATGAAAGTTTGACAAAAATATAACTACAAATAAAACATTTAAAACACTTTTCAGATGAACGAATATAGACTTCAGAAAACTTTGGAAACATGATACAAATTTTATTGTGAATGTAAAATTTTTATATCCATCCATCCATCCATGTTGACATCCGGAATCCATCTTGAGTCAAGCACCTGTCTTTTTAGCCTTTTTGTCCATTTTTCGCTCCCTTCCGGTGCAAGTGCTGCAAACTGTAACTGTAAACTAAAACTGTAAGTTTTACAAACTATTTTCGTAAATTCATTGTGGCCGAATGCATTTGCTTGGGACCTCTCAGTCGCAATTTTCAGTCGTAAAAATATTAAACTTTAAAAATCGACAACCCTAATTTAGGACCGATTTTTCGCAGGCAACCCTATTTCACTGTGTTCATAATTAAATAATCTTTATTTTCATTTAAATTTGATTAAATTATCAGACCGGTGCAAAATGCTACTATCGATGTACCTGTTTATCCCTGGCAACCCGAGAATTGTGACTGGAAAAGAATAGGCAACCTAACGTTTTCATATTCTATGGGCTCCGTACTTTCGATTGGTGTGGAGTTTATCAAATAATCAAAACGGTGAAATATTTGAAAAAAAATCTATTTTTAATTGTTAATTAATCATATCCTGGACTACAATTAATGAGGCAACCCATATGTAATATAGTTATTGACATATTAAATTGAATATAAAATATGTTTCATCAAATAAGAATATCGGTGAAGGTCGCCTTATATCGGGATATTAGACTATATATACATCTCGTGTGCGTCGAATTATACAACAGTCTGTAGCGTCTTTCCCAACCTTAGTAGCCCACATACTGTAGTTGATCAGCCTCAGAATGAAGTCTGCGTCTTTTTACCAAACAGAATCTATCATTTGAGTTCCTTAGTAGCCTCGTTTAAAATCATCACTAAATTATATATAAGTAAGTTTCAAAATTTTTGGTAATTAGATCTAACGATCCTGCTAAGCGTGGTGATTAATGCTCAAACCTTCTCCATGTGAGAAAGAGGCCTTTGCTCAGCAGTGGGCGTTGATAGGCTGATGACGACGACGATCCTGCTAAGCCCAAATCAACCTATAATCTTACATCGGTAAACTTGGTTAAGAAATAAAATAATATTGGTATTAAAATAATTTATTACAAATATAAACTGCTATCCAAAAATATAACCTTCCGTGAACATCAACGTGGCAATTTCAATTTAATTGAACAGTAACACTATGTAAATTTAAAGTATATTTTTGTTCGTCAAATGAATGTTATTTATCTCTTCCTGTGTCTATGTTCCGACCTGGCTCCGCTCGGCTTCGACGATTTCTCCTTGTATCTGGGCTCCTCTGAAAAAATAAATTAACATATATAATAAAGTCTAAGATAAAATTGATTTTAAGTATTATGAAAATCCGTCTTAAAAGACATATATTTGTTACTTTTTAATTATAGAGCTTATCAAGCGGCATTCACAAAATTCTATGTTCATGTTAAACGTCTTCATATCTGATTATAAACTGACATTCGAGATTGAAACACAAAAATCATTATTCAATATTTTGGTAATTGAAACTTAGGAATATTTAAAAGATGTCAAAATTATCTGAGACAGTTAAATTGATTGTATATGACGTATGTGATGTACACAAAGACGTAGTATTAGTAGTAGTGATGGCATCAATCATCTCAATTTATTTAAAATGTTAAATTCAATAAAATAATATTTCAAATAGGTACATTGGGATATTCGTTTCATGTAATACACATACATATTATATGCGGATTGGAGAGAAAATATGAATTATATTCAGATAAGAAATGAAGTATTTATATATACCTCTATCTTTATGGCGATGTCTTCGTTCTCTGTCTGGTGAGTGTGAGAGGTCCCGCGGCAGGTGACCCTCGGCCCACCACCAGGCGGGGGGGGCGGAGGCGCGCGGCCGGAGGGGGGAGCCGCCGTACGGGGGGAGGGGGGGCATCTGGAGATTATATAGAGCAATATAAACTATATAAAACTTACAATTAGTTACATTCAGTTTTGAATACAAGTTGTAACTTGTTTTTAAACTACAAAATTAAAATCCAATCTCGTTCAATACTTAAAATATCCTCTATAATAATAAAAAATTGTATCTCCAAATATTGTTTAATTCCTCATATTCGTGATGAATTCATCGTTTTTGATGGCACACAACACATGTTTTAACCCGTGGTATCAATGTTTATCTACTGACCGGCGGGTAGTCGTGCGGCAGGCGGTAGTGTGCGTGTGAGTGTGGGGGAGCGTGCGGCCCGGGGGGCGAGGCGGCGGGCCCCGGAGGAGGGGGAGGGGGGTCGCCGTCCGCTGACATGTGCTGGGGGATCTCGGAGGCGAGCTGAAATACATAGCATTAGATTAATGGAAATGTTTTATTGATATGGAATTTATCATAGCATCTTCATCGGTTATATTATTATATCGCATACGTATCCCCACTAATATTATAAATGCGAAAGTAACTCTGTCTGTCTGTCTGTTACGCTTTCACGCCTAAACCACTGAACTGATTTTAATGAAATTTGGTATAGAGATAGAGTTGATGTTGAGAAAGAACATAGGATAGTTTTTATCCCAGACTTATTAAAGTTCTCTTGAAAGCTAGTATGAATATAAAGTTTCAGTGTACCTTCTGTTTGAGGTTGTTGAAGTCGTTGCTCATGTCTCTGTACCGCTGCAGACACTCCTGCCACATGGTCGCCATCTCCGACATTTCTGAACGCTGTTTGTTTATCTCCTCCTGTAATATTGTACAAACTAGGTCAATATATTTGTCATACAAATGAGACTAACACAACAATACATCTTTATATATATAAAAATTTCGTGTCACGTGTTCGTCCGCGATGAACTCCTAAACTACTAAACCGATTTTAAATTTGATTTGCATTCCGTGTGCATTTTGATCCAACTTGAAAGATAGGATAGCTTACATCTCAATTTATAGTCACAATATTATTTTATTTCAAATTATTTGCCTATTAAAGAAAATTATTTGTCATTATTACAATTATCTGTTGACTGAGTTAAGTATTCAATATGTTAAAAATAAAAACGTCATATAAGAGCGACTATATAGCATAACCACCACGTGTTTCTGAGGCAGGTATATGTAACCTAAATTTATTTATTAAAAAAAAACGTAACAGATATTACTTCATTATAGGGCGATAAGAAGTTCGCCGGGTCATCTAGTTTTTTGTAATATAAGTTTCATTAGTTGGAGTCATCGTACCATAAGCCTGGCGTCTGTATCTCCCACGTCCCTGGCGACCGTCTCGTATCTCCTCATACACTCTCTCCAAAGACGTAATTGCGCCGCCGCAGACTCCTATAATATTAATAGTAATTCATAAACAATAATATTTGAGTAATAATCTTATTAATATGGCTCAAAATGTCACTCACGTTAACATCCTTGTCCCTGCCCTGTGTCTGTGATATACTTTTAAAGCATCTCATCAGTTCCTTCCACAGCTTCATCATCTTGTCCATAGCCTCTCTCTGTTCTGTTATTTCCTGCTGAAATAAACATATAATTTCCTTAACTCGCTCATCGCGTCAAACAAGTACCTGTAAGTTCCAGTATCAACACTTACTTTAACAACTCTCAAGTAGTTGCTCTTCCCACTGATAGTGCTGTTCTCTCCGTCGGCCACACTCAGTCCTGAGTCTCTCTCTCTCTCCGAGTATCGCTCCCTGTAGTCCTCGTCCTTGGACACCACTGAGCATCTCTCATACCGCTCCGAGTTCCTCCTCACCCGTTCCTTCCCCTGTGTGTTGTAGTTCCTCTCCCTCACTCTGTCGTCGTAGTACTTCTCCCTATAATTCCTCTCCTCATGTTTCCTGTCTCTATACTCCCGGATGTCATACATCTTATCTTTAACTCCGTCACTCCTGGCCGTCCTCCTACAACACCGTTCGTCGTCGTTATGACTCTCTCTATGAACATCGAAGCTCCTGCTCGTTTTCGCCTCACAAGCTCTCCTCCTGTCCTCACACTTCTTATAATCTCTGTCATCTCTCCTATCTCTCCCGTCAGCGTGAGGTCTATAGTAAGTATCGAGATAGCTCCTGGTAGGAGTACTTTCCAATGGATAAGCTCTATATCTGTCTTCGTCCCGGTTTTTGTCTGTAACGATCACTTTGCTGGTATATCTCGGGTGTAGCTTGTTGTATGGAGGACAACAGACGCAATTCTCTTTCCTGTCGTCCAAAGGCGGAGAAACATTATCATGACTCCGAACTCTATTGCGGAAATATTCACTGCTCCGCGCCCTCGTTGGTGATTGTTCCCTGGATGGCTCGCGACTGTGAAGTCTGACGGGTTTGTGGTCCACGTCGTAGGAATCCTTTCGGAGTACCTCGCATTGCAGGGATTTGTGACTTTGGGAACGTCCCTAAAAAATAATCAAATCAACAGACAGTTTCAAAATTGTAAAATTTCAGTAGATAAGGATCTGTAACTTACAACCGGGCTGGCGTTCGCGTAGTGTCCCGTTTTGTCAGTCATCTGAGCGCACAATTTGGCAAATGTTTCAAACAAGGCTAAATGATCGGCCGGCGGAGTTTCCTCTTTGGCAGGTCTACAAACAGACAGGTCAAGTCAGTAACTAGTAGTAGTAGTAGTCATAGTTCCAGCCGTTGTATACTTGTCTCTGTGTCTACACTCGTCTCTGTGTTTCTTGTGGTGGTGTCTCCTCTCCTTGGTGTCGGACGGGTCTCGCTCGCGACTCCGCCTACGCTCGTGATGATGATCATGACGATGTCTAGTATTCAATATCACCACATTAATTTCCACCAATTTTATTTCATTCATGCAATGAATGTTACGACCATTTTTTTGTATTCCAAGAACTTACTTCTTCTTGTCCCTTTTTATGGCTTCTTCCAAGAACGCGTAAACAAAAGAGTCTTGATCCTGAGGTATAGCTTCGCTCGCGTCTTCGCCATCCTACAGACATTTCAATTAAATATTTTTGTATCCATAAAATGTATATCTGATACTGCTATTACATTTGAGAAGTTACCATTCGAGGTGACGTGGACCTTGGTGTAGAAACCATTCCCGCCTTCAACGCAAGCGATACTCCTTCCCGACTAAAGCGTATCAAATATTAGTTTATAAAACTGGTATACGTATATCATATCTTATAAAACATACGCGGTTCGTCGATGCCGGCGAGGTGATCTGGAGGGTCGATGACCTTCGCCCGGCGATCTCGACTCTGGGCTGCTGTCTCTATCTCTGAACATATTCATCATATAACAAATTTACTTTCCTGGACAAGATATTAATATAAGAGTAATCAACCTCTTAGACATATCCGCATCTTGTTCGCCGTCAGTGTTCTGTGACTGCATAACGTCTTGTTGGCTTTGTTTGACGGATGCGGCGCGGCGACCTTGACCGACCTATAAATGACTCTTTAAACCATATTCTATATCATTCTTCTATCATCTCATCAATACTTACGCCGGTAGACTCGTCGGTAGCCAATGAGTTGTTATCATCTTGTTTCCTCCGAGTTCGTTTACGTTTGGACGCGTCGAAAACTTTAAATAATTTTTTACTATCGCTCTGTTGACACTCCATCTTACAGGTTCAAACGGATCACTATACATCTGTTCTAACTATACTATATGCATTATTCGTCACTCTTAAATATTTAAAATCTCAGGAAAGTTATACAAATAATCGGAATTTTAACTAGAATTCAACCAAAAAAAAAAAATGCACTGATAGAAGTGACTGACACTTCTTGTAATTTAATTGAAATAAGAATTATGGATTGTCACTTTGAGTTCATAGATATTGTGTGCCAGATATATTATTTCATTTCATCTGATTTTTATTTTTGTGATACGGAAATGTACAACCTTTACGTATAGATTAGTGATAGAAGACTGATAGAATTATTATGGTAATATTTAATGTAATGCATATAGTTTAGCATAAAATTGTATTGAATTTTTAAAATTTAATAATCTCATGAAAGAAGAAATGTACTCATATCAGTTCTATTTTATTAGATTCTATTTCAAGCATCAAAAGTTTTTTTTGTCATTGTAACTGTTATTGGGTAAAACGTTAAATGAACTCATTCTTTGGATTAACCAAAAAGTTAGGTTATGATAAAAAAATATTTTAAAAAGTCAAAAGTCGAATATTATGCTTTTTTATTCCACTATATTTGAGTACGTTAAATTACTTTTTTTAAATATTTTTTATTAATGTCGATCGTGTGAATCTCGAATGAGATTTTGTGTAAATATTTTTTCGGTAATTTGGAATATAGGTGTATGGATATTAAAAAATGCCAATTAGAAAAAAAAAAATAATGAAATCAGATTCAATTTCAATATATTATAGATTATTGTAATAATTCACATTAAACTTAATTAAAACTTATAGCCCACATAAGCTCCTCACTCATCACTACTATCTCTTATAGACAAGGTGCTAAGGTACTCGGTATAAAATCTCCATCATAAAACCAATAAACAGATTCAAGTCCCATTTTATTATAAAAATCAAAATTACGAGTTATAATACATCTGTTTCTCAATCGAACAATAGATATCGATCATAGCACATCGACACTCCCGTAAATAAATCATCGTGGACATAAATAACAAAAATCAGATTGTACAAGCTAGGAGGCGGGCGGGGCGGGCGGGGCTGAGGCGCGCCGTATGCTATATGTACACGTACCCAGCGGGAGTCAGTCGGGCCTCGCCCGCGGGCCGCCGCCTCAGTCCGCGGGGGGCGCCGCCTGGCTGCAGTGAAACAGCACGTCGGCCAGCTCGTGCGCCACCTTCTGGTCCAGGATCTGGCTCATGACCAGCGACAGCAGGCGCCGCTCGTGGCGCCGGATCAGCGGCCGGTTCTCGGGGTGCTCCGCCAGCCGCAGCAGCGTGGCCGCCGCACGCCGCAGCATGTCCAGCGACGTGCCCATCGCGTCCGGGTTGTCCCGCAGCGCCGCCACCCCGTGCTGGTTGGCCACGCCCAGCGCCGTCTGCTCCGCGCGCTCGATGAAGGCCACCAGCTGCGCCACGGCCGGCGCGTGCATGGCCACCTCGCGCGCCGCCGCACCGCCCGCGCCCGCCAGGTAGTGCAGCAGGTTGACGGCGAATTCGCGCACCACGGGCCGCTCCGGTCGACAGAGGTCCCGCGCCAGGCCCGCGCACAGAGCCGCCATTCGACCGCGCGGCGGTGTCGCCAGCACCAAATCCACGTTGGCGTCCGTCACGCACAGCTTGCACAGCGCCTCCAGAGCGAGGCGACGCGGCGACAGCGGCGAGCCGGGCGCGGCGGCCGGCGGTGCGTCTCCCGCCACGGCCGCCGGGCACACGCTCCAGTGCAGCAGGCCGTCCAGCAGCGGCCGCGCCACGGCCTCGGGTTGTCCGCCGAGTTCCACGCTTCCTGCGATGTTGGCGCAGCACACGAGCGCGTCCTCCCGCAGCTGGGCCAGCGTGTCCCACCACCACTCCCCCTCGCCCCTCAGACTGGAGCAGCACGAGTCCGCGTCCACCTCGTCCCTGGCCGCTCGCTCGTAGGCCCTCGCCCTCGCGGCTCTAGGCGCGTGTTCGTGATGAAGCAACAACAGTTTCCCGGCGAGCGCGAGGAACGCCCCGGACCTGGAGAATTCCGCCTCGTTCCCCGGCACGAACGTGAGTCCACGTAATATATTCGATAAGGCGATACATCGTCTCGCGAGAGCGTCGCGGGATTCGTTCACTAAGTTGAGGCTGGGCTCATCGCGCGTGTAACACTCGTCCTCGTAGTCCTCTAGCCGGCGTCGTTTCATCACACCGGCGGGGTCTCTCACTTGTAGCGTCGGCCGCCTCTCGGGCTCCAGCTCCATGGGCTCCGCTTCCAGGTTGTCAGCGTCGGCGGGAGGCGGCGTGGTCGCGGGCGAACACTCCGGCGAGGAGGCTGTAGCGGGCGGACACCGCGGGGATGAGGGCGGCGGCGCGGGCGCGGGGGCGGGCGGCGAGGGCGGCCGCTCGCCGGGCAGCACGCGCACGAACGGCAGGTGTACGAACTCCCCCCGGAAGCAGGGCATGACGTGCGCGCCGGCCGACTCCCCGCCGAGCTGCCAGGGCTCCGTGACGTCGTCCACGTCTCGGTCGGGCTCGGGGTCGTCGGGCGCGAACAGCTCCTCGTCGGCGCGGTCGACCCGGGACACCATGGTGACGGGCGTGCGGCGCCGTGATTGCAACGTGTAGTTCTCGCAGGAGAGCACCCGCAGCCGGTCGGCGGGGTCGGGCGGGTCGGCCCTCCGCCTCGCTCTCGTCACGGGCTCAGGGCTGGCGGGCGGCGCGTACCACGGCTCGCTCTCGGCGGCGGGGGCGTCGAACACGTCTCCGAGACTCTTCTGGAAGTGCTCGAGCAGCAGGTCGAGTAGGCCGGGCATGTGCTGGAGCCCAAAGTATCCTATACAGTTGTCGTCGAAGAGTAGAATGTTGAGTATGTCGAGGGCCCAGCAGGTCTCGGCCAGCAGCCCGGACTTGAGCGCCATCATGATCCTCCAGGCGTCGACGGGCGCCACGTCGGCCTTGGTCAGTCGGCGACGCTTCTCCGCGGCGGGGACGGTCGCCTCTATACACTCGGCGGGGAACGTTAATTCCCTCTTTAATTGACCTACGCCCGCTGCACCCTGTAACACAGACGACATCCGTGAGTTACTTGTGAATCTAGATCATTGACATACATTCAAGCACTTGACATTATACAACTAAACTTCCCAATGTAAACAAACATTCAAACACAGAGAGCATGCAAAGCTTGTAAGTGAAGCTGAAGATGATGGTTGAAGTTGTTACTGGTTGACTTGGTCAAGTTAATAATATTAGTTTTGGTTGTTTCGTGATCTGAACATGGATTATTAATGTTTGGTATCTGTGACATGTTATGATAGCTTGAATGTGATGAGGGACGACAGTGCATGTATTATGGACCGTGAAAGCTATGATCGAAATCCTAATAGATTAAATTTATTTTGCCTCCAAACTTTTTATAATTATCTTGGTGTTTGAATAAGATATTACTTGTCTTTGAGTTAGAAAATCAAGAATTGTATATGAATGTTAAGGGGCCGTTCAAGTATTACGTAAGCAGATTTATTACAAATATTTACCCCCCATCCCCCTTGTCAAGAAAAGTAAGCCAAGCTCTTACGCCCTCCCCCCATGCTTACGTAAACATTTCCAATTACTATTTTTTTTAATACAAGTCCAGAAAAAGAATATAATTGTATTTTTTTATGGATCTACTCGATGTGACGATTAAAATTAATAACTACCGATGACGTAATCGATACCTAGACTCCCCTACCCCCCATGTCATCCAAAATAAGCAAAGCAAAGACCCCCGCCCCTCCATAGAGCTTACGTAATACTTGAACGGCCCCTTAACAGTGAATTTATTTATTAACTGTGGATTAATTTATTAACTGTGGTTTAATTTATTAACTGTGGATTGATTCATTAACAGTTGATTAATGTATTAACAGTGGATTTATTTATTAACAGTTGATTAATTTATTAACTGTGGTTTAATTTATTAACTGTGGATTATTTTATTGATAGTTGATTAATTTATTAACTGTGGATTTACTAACAGTTGTTTAATTTATTAACAGTGGATTTACCAACAGCTGATTAGTTTATTAACAGTGGATTAACTTATTAACAGTTGTTTAATTTATTAACAGTGGATTAACTTATTAACAGTTGTTTAATTTATTAACAGTGGATTTACTAACAGTTGATTAATTTATTAACAGTGGATTAACTAATTAACAGTTGTTTAATTTATTAACAGTGGATTAATTTATTAACTGTGGATTAATTCATAAACAGTTGATTAATTTACTAACATGGATTAATGTATTAACAGTGGATTTATTTATTAACAGTTGATTAAATTATAACTGTGGATTAATTTATTAACAGTTGATTAATTCATTAACTGTGGATTAATTTATTAACAATGGATTAATTTATTAACTGTGGATTAATTCATTAACTGTGGATTAATTTATTATCTGTGGATTAATTTATTATCTGTGGATTAATTTATTAACAGTTGATTAATTTATTAACTGTGGTTTATTAAGTTCCGTTCAAGTATTACGTTAGCAGATTTATTACAAATATTTACCCCCCCCCCCCATCCCCCTTGTCGACAAAAGTAAGCAAAGCTCTTACCCCCTCCTCCCATGCTTACGTAAACTTTTTCAATTACTGTATTTTTTTTAATATAAGTCCAGAAAAAAAATATAATTGTATTTTTTTATGGATCTACTCGATGTGACGATTAAAAATTAATAACTACCGATGACGTAATCGATACCTAGACTCCCCTACCCCCCATGTCATCCAAAATAAGCAAAGCAAAGACCCCCCGCCCCTCCATAGTGCTTACGTAATACTTGAACGGCCCTTAACGAGGTGTCTATAAACATTGAATTTATTCTTGTAATAATCTTTCTTACAAACGCTTAACTACCGCCTCTCAAATCTGTAAAGGTAGTGTGACTTAATGTTCTAAAAGGGCTACGAAATACGAAATAAGAGCACGTCATGACACGAGTGAAATGATCCAAGTGTGTGTGGGTGAGTGGGACATGTGTGTATGTGTGTGTGACTCACGGGTGAAGACGCGGCGGGCGGTAGTTCCTGCGGCGGCCGCGGGGCGCCCCACGCCACGCCGCCCGGCGTCTACAACACCCACACGTTAACTACCCCGCGACACATCTCAATGTTCTCAACCGGTTACTTTAATTATTATAATGTTTCATGCATTCGACTAGCGTGTACGGTCTCTGCTTCACGGAATATGGATTTTTGATTGTGAATCGACGTGATAACAGTTAATTGCTATGGAATGGTTGCGATGGTTACTGTTACAAGAATGAAACGAACGGCGCGACTGACATGTAACATCTCGGAAATAATTTGATTCTTTATTCTGTATGTAAAACTAAGTTTTGCATCTCAATCCACCGTTCATTTCGTGCAGGGTTAAAATACATAGTATGTAACGTGAGTGTATCCACGTGTGTGTGTGTGTGGGGGGGTTGTAGCTACTCACCGGCGGGTGGTAAGGTTGATGCGGCTGGTGCGGCTGGTGGTGGGGCCAGGCCGGCTGGTGCGGGTGGTGCGGCGCGTGCGGGAGGGGCGCGGGGGGCCGCCAGGCGGGGGCGGGCCCGCCGCGGGGGAAGCCGCCCGCCCAGCCGCCGCCTGCGAACCGCGCCGCCCCTGCCGGGCCGCCCGGGCCTCCCGGGCCCGCGTACCCCTCTTGCTTGGCGAAGTCTGGATGCCGCCGGGGCGCTCCGGCCGGGCCGCCCGCGCTGGCTCCGCCGCCCTGTTGAATGTACAAGTCTTGTTTTATACTTTGCAGCTTCACGTTGATCCATGTGATGAGCAAAGGTTCTGTAGTACGATTCATTATTTAAGAGGTGACTAGTTTTAATAATATCATAGAATGTCGTATTTTTAGAGTAAAGTAAAACATAGTTTTTCACTAACAGAACCTTAGCGATCACATCAGTTAGAATTATTGGATGTAATGACAAAGAAAGCAAAAGATATAATTTAAGTCGGTTCATCTGTGTAGTAGATCTGTATCCGACTTGTCACGTGGTATCCTTTGCTTCCTCGTTAGTAAGTACAGTAGCCGTGACCCAGGATGTTCCTCTATATTAATATGATGATTATATCGATGGCCGGTGGACCGGACCTCAACTCGTCACGGTTGAGGTCCGGTCTGCTCCTCTATGTACAAAGCCAGGTCGTCGCTGCCCCTCGCAGCTAAGCTCATGACGTCTGTGAATGCATGCAGATGAGATCGTGACGTTACAACTATCACTGGAAGCCACCACCACACACTCTAAACCTTAACTTCCATGTTCTGTTTTATACAATTTGTTAAATTTTGATATACGACTCGCCTCCGAATTATACGAACCGATATTTCGGAAAGCCAATTAATCACACCGCAAGCCAAAAATTTAGTACAAAACTGAAGAGAATTAACTGTGACAGCTTGAAATATCGTTAAGCCAGTAGAATTACTTGAAAAAAAAAATCATAATTAAATGAAGCCAAAACCACGGATGAAGTCGACCCTCGCACCCTTTCAATTTTAATATTCGTAATGTGTAAGTATTTAATATTACAATGAACAACATACGAGACATAATTGGGTGTACCGTGTATATACTTACTACATATATTTATATCAATATTCGATATGTTACATTGTTACATGTCTTTGAGGTATTTTTATGACACAAACAATTGAAAAAAGTTTCATGATCGTTAACTATACTGATGTTCAAAATAATTAAAGTTACCGAGCTCAATAATAAAAGAAACTAAAATTTCTTATAAAGTGTTACAAGTGAGATATAAAAGTGATAATTAAATATCTAAGTGCATCTAGAGGGGAATGGGGGGGGTGTCGTTCGGTGCGCCCAATCATGACCCGTGTATGTGTGTGTGTGTGTGTGTGTGGAGGGTCGGTGCAATGGACCGGTCGCCAATATGGGAAGCGGTGTTGAGTGCGTGGTACAAACGTCCGTACGTAGGCGCTCCGCGGGGACGGCAGCGGCGCCACGAGCTGACGAGCGAGCTGCGAGCTGAGCAGACCCGCGCCCCCGGACAGCTGCGGGACACGCACGGTACGACACGACACACGACACACGGCCCCGCCGGGTGACGTGCGTGTCTTACAGTATATACTATACACACTATACTAGCTTTTCACTTCAATTATACTCATAAGCCAATCGATTAAATATGACAGTGTTATCCACAGATACTATTGCTTATTATATTCATAAATTTCAAATGTACCTTTGATTTGTGTATAGTAATAGAACGAAAATCGGCATTAAATCAAGTAAAGTTGTTCAATTACAACAGCACGAGGCTCTGAGCGTGGTCCGCTCCCATGCTCTTCATGCACGACTAATAGACATCACGACCATACAGCGGACACTTACACTAATGAGAGATAATAATCATTATAACGAGCAACACTAGGGTAGTACTCACGTCGTGCTGCTGCTGCGGCGAGTGCGGCGGGTGTGGAGGGTGCGGGGGGTGCGGCGGGTGCGGCGGGTGAGGGTGCGCGTGAGGGTGCGGCGCGCGGTAGTAGTCCGGGTAGGGCTGCGCCGGCTGGGCCGGTGCGGGCTGCGCGGGCGCGGGCTGCGAGGGCGGAGCGCCGGCCGCAGGCGCCCCCGCACGGTAACCGCCGTACCCGTAGCGGTACTCTCCGCTACCGCCGTAACCCCTGCAATAATATCAACGTTAGGAACATTGAGACAAACGCCGAGTCAAACATTAAAGTACTGATTAATTATATAAAAATCAAAATGTACCGGGGCAGGAACATTAGAAACTAACCAAACTAGCTTTGAAGCTAAGATAAAAATTAACGTGTTATAACATTTCTTTTACCCAATCATATTTCGCTATAAACTCGTAAATTGAGTCCGTATATAGTATAACATCATTTACCTGTCTCCTTCCGGACCGTATGGCGGGTACACCGGCCTGTTGGTGGGGTAGGGCGAGCCGTACTCGTACCCGTAACCTTGTTGGTAACCTGAAGAGCACGGAACATATGATCAGAACATTAAACGGTAACTCCTATTGTTAATGAGACATGCATGTACACTACATACTCTTAATATAATAAAAACATACAATAGCCAGCATCACATGTGAAGTTATCAAACTGAGTAAACAACATACACTATGTCTACTGTAGTGTTATATAAATAACTAATACACATTTATAATAGTACTTGGGAAATTTAATGTGAGGTTTGATAAGCGAAATTGCGGGCTAACCAAAATATAGAAGCTGGATTAGTAAATACAATATGCACGTTAATAAGAAGCAGCCTATGGTGACGTGGTAGAAGATACGAAATTTACTTAGATGTGACTTATTTTATATATATTTTACATTTAGATAGGTACATACATATACCGCCAGTGTTATGTTAGTAATGACAATATACAAGATATACCACGGGTAGGTAAATTTCGCATATCAAATAAAAGCTTCACCGCTGGGTTATTCAAATTTACGCTACAATCTAAAGAGAAGCTTTTATTTCTGAGGATTTATCAATATATAAATGTTAATTAGGAATTTCCAGGGTATAGGAATGAATACACTTAGTTGGGTATTATTGAAAATCGTATGGGGAGGTTTAAGGAGAGGGGATTATTGGAATTGGAAGAATTTGGTGAGGTGTAGGTTCTCAACGGAATTGGAAAATGCCCCCAGAGCGTCACGGTAGAATGCGCAAGCGACCCCGTGGCGCTCCGCTGGGTGTACGAGGATCATGGTTGGGGTCTGTGGAGTGCAATCGTATCGCGGTACCTGGGGGTCGCCTGGGCCCCGGCGGCTCGTCGAACGGGTTGGAGGCGGCGAGGTTGTCGCCGCCCGGCCCGCCGCCTACAACCACACAACCCGTTACGTGCATATAAACAACTCTACTGACTCACACGCGGACCGACATGGAAGGATACGAGCACGCGGGGCGGTGATAGTCAATACAATTGTTTATTTATTATATAATACCTAGGAACATTTGCCACAAAAAGTTTATACAAGTCAAAATAAATACACGGTTGTTATCGCAGTCGTTTAAAGTGAACGAACATTTTTCTACTTTTCATGGCGATGTTTTATCTCGGGATCGACCTAAAGTGCTATTAAAGGAGTTAGTGACAAGCCAAGTGAAGCCAAAAGATTTGTTAGCTATCGTCATCAAAACAAAAGGCCCTCGCTGTATCGGTTGACATAGTTTTAGGGACGCGATCATCAGACGGAGACTTTGGTTTTGACTTCGATATCGGTTAGCCGACGAGTTCGTATCTTTATGAATCGTATCGGACTGCACAAATAAGAAAAAAAAAGCACAGCCGATGTCACGTTGGTCACACGGAAGCCATCTAAGTCTATATCTATTCAGCTCATGTACAGCTTCGATCGTGTTCGTCGGTGATACTAGGGTCTAGTGCTAGGTCAGTCTCTATGTCCATTCATTATGTACAGCACGCGCGGGGAGGCGGGGGGTGTAAGAGTGTGTAAGGAGTGTGTGTGTGTGTGTACCCTGCGGCTGGCTCGGCTGCGGCGGGTAGGGTGCGTAGTGTGCGGGGTGCGCGCCGTGTGACGGGTAGCCGTCCGCCGCGCCGCCCGGGAACTGCTCCTGGGAGTTCGATGACCCTGAGGACGAACACACTCATATTATCAATATACACGAGTCATGTTTCCCTTGACCTACATACTCATAGTCTCGTTCATTCCATGTAAGTGTAGTGTACCTGCGCTGGAGGTGCTGTTTGCCTTCCCGCTCTTCTTCTTGGTGGACGCCTCGACCTGGCTGATGATGGGCTGGGGGTCAATGCCCCCGCGGTCGAATTGACACTCGTACGCCAGCAGGTTCTTCGTGTAATGCTTCCTCAGAGTGTAAGCGGCCGATGACGACGCGCCGATGCCGAGTAACCCGGCTATGTCTTTCCACGTTTTATTTTTTGTCACCTGTTAGAGAAATCTTGATTAGTACAAAATGAGTCATAAATAAGGGTTCGTCGGGATCCATTTATATTTTTTTACATATAAATCAGTATCAAAGAGAGGTTCAGTTCACTTCATCTCTTTAGATAACACCTATATCCTAATCTCTATTAAAACGATCGTAAGGATACAAACTATAAAGATATATCATGTAGGCAGATAAGGCTACGAGTAATTTCCGATGAAACCTCACCATGCCGTATTATTACAACACTCTAAGCTTGCAGTATGTAGTCGGTAACTCGAACATCAAGTGTGAAGTGTTGTAAAGCGGTTCGTGTATTCAAACAGTACACGGACTACGCTCTGATGATAAAAATTTATTAACAATCGTTAAAGCGGCGGCGTGTTTACGACACTCACATAAAGCCGACTCGCGCTAACAATTATCGAATGCTAGTTTATCGAGGCTATATACAATAATACATTAAATACACTTGAGTGTGGCTTTGTCTGTACTTGTTTTTGTCTGCTAGGTATGAATTTGGGACTGGATAAATTAAAGGAAATTTATACAAAAATTAAAAAGTGAAGTTAACATAGAATGATGATTAAAGTAAATATTATATACACCGTTCATATGCAAGGTGAAATATATGGAAAACAAAAGTTACTCCGTCACGCTCTATATGTTCAATGTATGTATAGCGGGTGTGTATATACAGGGTGTTGTTTTCACGTACCTCCACGAAGCCCCCGCGGTCCCGCACCAGCAGGTACAGCCTGTACAGGTCCAGCGGCTGCTTGCTGATGGTGGGGCAGGCGGCGATGGGCGTACGCCTCTCGTCCATGAAGGCCAGCAGCCTCTCCACCCAGCCCCTCCTCTCCGGCGCGTCGTCCATCTCGTACAGCTTGCCCAGCGAGTCCGACTTCTGGCGCATACACACACATCATACACCATCATACGTCACGGGCCGCCGGGGATACACGACTACGACCCCGGTATATACGAACAACTTCTAACATAAAACTATATAGCTTAGAGGAGACCGTAGGTTTTGATTTCCGGTCGTTCCCGTCTAGAATTGAATTATCTATGAGAAATTAAATCATTCACAGCAATGACACTGGTTAAACAAAAGAGAATTGTGTCATTTTAATATCAAGAACCATAACGTCTTGTAAATATGTTCATTTTAAGTACTACTACATTCAAAGATATCAAAAAGCATACACGCATCGGTATACTTGGAATTATTAAAAACTTGACACTTTTTTGCAAATTACTGATAAAACTTTTTTTATTCAGTAGTTGTAATCTTGCTTAAATATTAATATAAGTATTTGATATAAAGACAGCTTTACTTTTAATATAGCGGCAGGCACCATCGCAGCAAAGAATTTAGCGAATATACGAACCGAGGGTTCACTGATTGATAATCATAGACCATAGTCATCATGCTCTACATATTGAAGCGATTATAAAATAGGAAAAATAATAATATAACAAGATTCGACTGTACAGTAGAGATCTCGCGGCGAAAACACTTGCAACCAAAAATATATTAAAGGACCAACACCAAAAATCTGTAACAAGCGCAAGTTCGGGAAGCTCTTAATTAAGCGAAGTATAATTTAGTTATATTTTAGCGCAACATTCCAATTAATATGACTACAGTGTGCATGTGTGTTGAACATGCATCGAGCCACTACTTCACATGCTTAATGAGCTTTAACTTGGATATAAACCTTTGATCTGTAGGACTCCGGCGCTATGTGACTGTTAAACACCTGAAAAATCATGACATAATGCAATGCTTCCCCTTCCTACATAGATTGTTATGTGTGGGACCGAACACTTGTAACTGATGCTTTATATTATATTCTTTCATGGGATATACATTAGTGCAGGGACGTGATCCGCTCGGACACTACTGTAAATAACGGATTCAACACACGGTCACTGAGTGGATATTACATTGGCTCCCGGGATATGCAGTGATGGGAAAAGTATAGAAAAGCTTTTTATAAGTCACATAAGTAACAGTGTTTTGTAACGTGATAGAAATATATAACATTTGTATTTACACAGAAATCACACTTATTAATAATATTAAAAATCCCAAACTTTACAAAAAAATACATCTAACTACATTTGTTAAGTGATGCAGTCGACACTCATATATAGACACACATTGTATAGATCAACCTTCACGAGCCCCACCAGTCACCACTGGTTCACACTAATATTGTAATACAACATTCAATGTTTGTACATGTATGTCAATATCAGTAACAGTCTGCTACTAGTGTATATGTAGTTGTTTGTTAGACTTGTAGACAAATTCTTTTACCGAGCACTTTCATTAAATGTTCCTCATGGTGGGTGTAATTAAATCTCGAAATGTTTTTATCATCAAATTATTAATATGACTGTTGTCTGCTGGGAGTGTGTGGGTGCGTGTGTGTGTGGGTGCGTGTGTGTGTACGTGTGTGTGTGTGTGTGTGTGTGTCGACTCACGGGACTAGAGGGCGGTCTCGGCCAGGGCGAGGCGGAGGCGTCGTAGTCGTCGTGTACGGACGAGTGCGAGGCTCCGCCGGGCGAGGGCGAGGGCGCCGCGCTGCCCGCGCCGTACTCCTTCCGACTCTTGGGTGTACCGCACGTCTCCTCGCCGGACGCTGGAATAGTACAGATATACCTAATCACTAAATGGAAACCGACATGTATTAGGGTGTCCCATAAGTTTCTTCCGCGCTACGCTATGAATGACTCTGACTGGCTATGCTTATATAAACATGCAGGCATATCTCTTAGCCGTTTATGGCATCGGTTTCAGTCGTCCCAGAGCTCTTTCAAAGTACGTTTCGTTGGTGACAAAGCCTCTTTCAAAAAAAAATCTGCCCCGTTCAATATGGAGAACCAAAAGAAGCATTTATGGCATGTTATGTAAAATTTTTAAAAAAAGGCAATAGTGCAAAGAACACTGCAGTCGAGATTTGCACCGTTTACGGGAGTGGTACTCGTACTACGACCATTAGGACCGTCCGCAATTGTTTTAAGAAATTTAGAGCCGGCAAATTTGATTTACAAGATGAAGACCGCAGCGGCCGCCCAGTAACGACGGATGCGGACCTTATCAAAACTGTGCTCTCTGAAAATCCGCGAGATAGCGGATGACACTAACATTCCCAAGACAACGGTACATAAGCATTTGATCAAGATGGGATATGCAAATCGGTATGAAGTTTGGGTTCCACACCTATTGACGGAGACCGGCCTTATAAACCTCGTCTCTCCGTGCGATTTGCTTCTTCGTCGTGTCGTCGTAATGGTCGTGAGACAAAAATTATTACAGTTCGATTGGAACGTTCTACCTCATCCTCCGTACTCCTCAGACCTTGCTCCTTCCGATTATTACTTGTTCCTCTTCTTAAAAAAATATCTCCGTGGTAAATCTTTCAAATCCATAAGCGAAATAAAAACCCACACAGACGAATATTTTGCAAGTAAGCCTCAAAAATTTTGGAAAGAGGGCATAATGAGGCTTCCTGAGAGATGAAAGAAGGTTATAGAACAGAACGGTTCATATATAACACAATAAATCAACCTCAAACAATAAATATCGTGTATTCGTTTCGCATCAAAAAAAGGGAAGAAACTTATGGGACAACCTATATATATTATGTTTATACGCTTGTATGGCATTAATTAATCCGACGATATGATACAGTAATATCTAGAAAGTGATAAAATGAAATGTTTTAATACTAACTACATATATATTTAATATCTTTTTAAACCCAAATTACTACGACTACATCTATCGTAGTGTTCCTCATATATCACGTACCAGCGGACGCGTTGCTGAGTGTGCTCTGTTGGCTGCCCTCGTCCAGCGGCGCTCCGTCGGGGCCGGTGGTGACGAGCGCAGTGGCGGGCGCCGCTGGTCCGTTGTCGTGGGGCTCCCCGGGCGCGGTCGGCGGCGGCATAGCCTCGCCAGCACCCGCCGGCGGACCCATGTGACGACCCGCCTGCTGGAAACGATCACATACAATTCATCAAAGTGTGTACATATAGAAATAAAAAAATATGCCTTTTTATTATAGTTATGTAATGTATTTGATTAAAAAAAAACGAAATGCTAATCAGATTATAGGGAAACTAGAAGACCCGGCGAACTTTGTATCGCCCTATAATCAAGAAATATCTGTTACGTTTTTTTATTTATATTTTTGGAGTTTACCTATTAAAGCCATAAATCTCTGTGTTTTGAAGTGCGACAGAATGATTAACATATTAGTTAGTTGTCAAATCTAAGGTAAAAAAAAAACGATTGTATCAACAACTACTAATAAATTAAAAAAACATTGTCCAGTGGACAAAATTGTGAATCTAAACCATTCCCAGATCCCCTTGAACACACACAAAAAATTTCATAAAAATCGATCCAGTCGTTTGAGAGAAGTTCAGTCACATACACACTCACAGAAGAATTATATGTATATACAGGGTGACTGGTGAATTACTATCGATATTTGAGGACGTGATATTTGACGATCATATATGACAAAATAAAAATTAATATAACATAAATATTAATAAACTTCTTAGTAAAGTTAACCAAAAGTTATGTAATTAATTACGCATCGTATGAACACCCTACAGATTAGGTATACACTGACACTCACACATACGCATGTCGTGACGTGGTGTTGTATCAACACGTCGCCGCACGCGTCCACACTTGAACACTTGGAACGTGTCAACACTTTACTTATTTATACGGAAATTTTGTCAAAAATTAAGTGCCTATTTTTTTTACATAATTCGAATGAGAATCATGTACCGAGTATACTCCTTAAATATTGATAGTAATTCACCAGTCACCCTGTATAAAGATGGATATGTGTAAAAGTTACTTTTTAATATATTAGTTACGGAGATCTGTCTGTTTATATAAGGTCTCAACTAAACAGCCAATATAGGACATAACAGAAAAATATTCAAATAAATCGGTACGATCATAATTTCCTCTCAGTAACAGTCAGTGTTGTTAGTGGTTACCTTGAGTGGCGGGTAATGCTGTGAGGGATGTGGCGGAGGTGTCGGCCTGTATCCTCCGTAAGGGTAGGGGTGGTGGTTGCGCGGGGGGTAGCCGTAGGGCTGCGGCGGGTAGGGCGCCGTCTTGTACGGCCCGTGGTGCGGGTAGGGCTGCGGCAGCATGGCTCCGGGGGGCGGAGCGCCCGAGGGCGGAGGGCCAGCAGCGGGGGCGCCGGTGCCTGCTCGCACGGTCGGCCCGCTGCCGTCCGATAGAGACGACGACGGCCGCGGTGGCATCGGTAGATTCTGGGTACCTGTTAACATAAATAAATATATTTTAACTACATCTTCGAATCTTTTATTTTGTTTACCTCACATCCAATGACAACTACAAATACATGAAATATCAATAACTTGAAATGTCAGATGGTAATGACATGTTCTCATTATAACAAAATAGATGGAATCGAGTAGTTACAGATATAAAAGCAATAAAATACTTCATTAATAACACCCTAACGTGTTCAAAGTTAAGGCCATTAACAAATTAGTGACCGTTTGAGAACACGGCAATAATGATAAGATCCAATGTTACGATAATCGTCTCACATTAAACAGAATAGCGTTCAAGATAACAAACAATTGTTGGATACTTTTATTGGCTCGTAAAATCCATTCTATGGCAAACAAAAGAAAAAGAAAAGAAATACAATTCGTTCAACCGCAGCTCATACTGAAGAAATGATAGTGCATGAATCAAATGTTCATAGCATAATGTCGGAGCGTATTCAGCTCGTTGTAATCGATCCCAAACCGCTGTCCTCGTGTATTGCGAACGTAATTTGAATAACACATTTAACGAGGTCTAGTCTAAGCCGAGGCGAGGCGAGCCCACATCAATCGATGGTGCCGGGAGCACCAGATCACTTTCGTTTTCTGGCGCACGTGAGCCGCATACACGGCCAGAATGCGAATTCAGGCTGCACTTTATTCAATACGTACACAGTACACTTTATACACAGAGAACGCACGCAACACATTGACCGAGGCCGAGATATGAACGTCGCGGTGATTTCCAGCGACGAAAGTGGTATTGCAGCATTTATGTGGGTCGGTCCGGAGCCGTCGCGTTTTATATCGACTGTCAATAACAGCTGTCGGGCGGTAGGCCGATACTGTTATCGCTCGTAAACAAAGCGTTATCACGTGCGAAGGACTTTAATAACGCCGGTGAGCAATTATCCGGCCATTATGTTGGTTACGATGAGACGGCCGGCAGACGGTGAGGCGCCGGTGAATCACAACCGGCAGATGCCCCTCCCTCATATACGTGATAACTGATTGTCCAACAATAATTGCCACAAACAGACATTTCCATGGATCCCTTTAAGCTACACATATATATACGAAAAACGTCACGATTTGATTTATTTCTGCTGATAAATGATTCAGAGGTTCACAATAACGAATATCGAGCTAACAAAAACCTACTACCATTTGTTCATATCGATGTATAATCAATCAACAGGCAGTCACACGTATACCCTGTATATCAAGTCCGTGTGTGTGTATTTCTGTGTGTGTGTGTGTCCGAGTCACAACCAGCTCTGTCAAGGGCAGCAGCAGTCGCTACATCGAGGTTACCTTACTTTCCCGCCTCCACAGCCGGCCGCGGCGTGATCGTGATCACGAACTTACATACAACTACACAACTACAGACTAATAATGTACTGGTCTCTATAAAGACCTCAAACAACAGGAATTATAATCAAAATAACCAAACTATATACCAAAAAACAGCTCATTACTCATCAATACCACGATCATATATATAATTGTCTTATAATTTTCGAAAGGAATCATTAAATTGAAATATTTAAAAAGGTATGGATCTCGTTAAAATCAATTTGAATAAGAATTAAATACAAAGATAAAAACAACGCTATAAGAGAAATAAAACGATTAATTAATTATTTATGTATATATCTTTACTGAATTAAGGAATAAATATAAAGGCAATAAATTTTCATCAAATCTCCGAGTTAAGAAGTTAATTAAAATAATTAAATTTTCTTTTAATGAGTAACACATTTTAATCAACTCACTGCCATAGAGTTTTGTATTGTTAGACAGAGACATGGACAACATGTTATTTTGAAAGATGCAATAAACTCAATATATTTCCATGTTATACTAAATATTCTATATATATATCTATATATTTGGTTGTATCGTGTTGTTGAACAAATAATGTTTCGTGTGGCGGGCAGTGAGTGCTGTCAGACATTCCATACAAGTGATCGTATGAATGCGCCGCTGGTTATGACGCACCCAACTATTTATTAATTGTGGATATAAGTCGATAATTTTTATGAATAAATCTATATTTATTGTAATAAATCTATATCTATATTTATTATTTATCTATATCTATGTATAACTGTACCGTAGTAAAATTTTTATTTATTTAATGTGAGATCTCTAAAACTTTTCGATGTCTGCGTTCACGGGAAGGCGAGATGAAGGTGTCTGTCGATTCACCTCGTTATTTGTCACCTACTACTGACATTTTTATTATAATTACCTAGAATTGATACAAAACCATCTTTAATACTTTTAAAATAAAGTTAGACTTAATTTATATTTTATTATTAATTACTCTGTCTATACAGAAGTGTTATGTCAAAATATTAAGTATATACTTAGAAATTGGCACTATAGAACATCAAAATATATATTTATAAGTCCAATAAGGAATATATATCACATCTGTATAATATAAAACATATTTTCTATAATAGAGTATTGAATAGGTGATCACAGAAAACGCACGATCACGTGTACAAAGATCACGATGTCACTCCTATGTATCCATTTCAAGAACCTCATTATATACGATACATACGCGAAATATATATAAAGTTAAGTTGGTCATAATTATAATGAATAAAACAACCTTTAAAATAAACCAGATTTTAATCAAACGTACGTTTAGTAATAAACTTGAAACAGATTTTTCAAACTGGTTTCCTTCAATTATATCAACATTGACCTATAAATAAATTTATTGACTTGACGATAAATCGATCGAAAGTATAACCATTATTATAAATACCGCACAATACGAAAAGTTATAGAGAACAGAAAATCTTTTTGATGTCTTTATAAGGAATTTATTAATTTTAGTTTTCCTGTTAGGACAGGACAAGTTTCTCGTTGCAAATAGCAGCTCCATAATATTTTTTCTCCGTTGAATCACCGGACGTATGTTGAGAGAGCCGATCTGATGACTTTTATCAAAGAAAATTATTTAATTCCGTTACGTAGCAACAAGAGATTTGCTATTCAATTGAAATTAAGTAGGAACAAAAACATACCTGCATAATAATTGAGTAGGAATGTTGATCATATAAATACATTTTCGTGATTTTGTTATTATTAATTTTTAACTTTAATTTCGACCAGTTTACAGCAACCGTGATCACGAATATACGAGATGAATAGCAATAAAGAACCATATTAAGTCAGAAAAAGGGTTTCATTTAGTTGCGTAATTGAAATTATAAATTATATCATATCATACAATTACTTCATACTGTACGTTCCAAGCGAGTGATAAACGTCGGTACCCATCATAATGTTTACGTTCCATAGACAATGCGTGTGTACATACTTGATACTTGGGTGTGCTAACAAGAACGTCCCAGTTACAACTCTGAACACGTCTACAAGTCCACACTAGAATCGACTCGGCTAGCCACTCATATGAATTGATATCTGATATTTTCAATGTCATTTATGATATAACAGAAGTCATACGTATAAAATATAATTTAAAAAAGATCTTTCATGTGAAAGTTTCTCAAGCTATTGACCCAATTTCCCGAGTACAAAACGTTCACGACAATCCTCTGTGTTTTGTCTCCGTATAAATCGTAACATCTATTCAGGGGTCGTGGGGGCGGTACGTAGTACAATCATTCAATGTTTTCACCCGTCGACTAAACCGAGACAAGTTAAAAGAATATCTCGCACCATTAATAGGGGGTGGGGGGGTGGCGGGGAGGAACGGGGTGAATGGAATGTCGAACCCTCCGGTGACCTTGACTTCATTTATCACTCTCGGAAGCACATAACTGAATACGATTAGGCGACCGGCCAGAGTCGCAACAGGCCCATTAAATGAGAGAACGGATCGAACGTATTGCATACAAACAACACAGTACTTAACAGTTAATATGTTACAAGAACATTCTGCTTGTAACGTGTTAAAATCATGACTCACGGACTTATAATAACCATCAATCTCGACACAGGCGAAAAAAAAACAAGGAACGTTTACTTGAGAAGCATCAAAACAAACGTAATGCCGGGATATCACAGCAAAAAGCGTTTTGTTTCCCTTTTTTTTATTATTATTCTGTCATTTAAAGCAGTTCGTCGGCCTCGACCAAGGACGCGGAGCACGTGGCGATAGGCATTTGTATGGCGACAAACATACACAGGTGCCCCGTTTTAGATAAAGGGATTGAACACAATATTATTATTACGACAAGGTCATTGTATACAATATGTCATTGTATACAATGTGATATATCACATGGGATTATAAAGATATGCCAGTATTAAAACAAAGTGGAAAGATTATTGACGACTAATTAAATGTGTATTTTATTAGTCACAGTCGTTGTATATAATATATGGCATGTATAAACAAATCTAAAAATATAACATTAATTACATAAACTTGTCTCTCTGATTATATAATATATCAATGTATCTCTGCTAAATGACTCATTCATATTGTATTATTATTTATTAATTAACATACAAATTACCAGAAGAATAAATAAATTCATTCGACTGGAGACATTAAAATCAACTTATTATTTGGGCAATAATTTAATATCTTCCGTGCGTTCGATTAAAAATAACATTTTAAAAAATCACGTCTACCACCGTAAGTTACAAATATAGATTATAAACCGCTATTAAGTTGAGAATTTCGACTGTATAAGATTAGTAAGATTAATGTTTCAAAGGGAGACATACATTTTGCTCTGAAGAAACGAATGCCTTTCGATTTTGGCTGATTGTAGCCGGACTTATCTTTGTTGATGACATTCCACTGCTCGACCAGAGATACGCGAAGTGGACTCACTGCGAAATGCTTTTAGCACCCATATAAAATACGAAAGAGAAATACCACACCAAAATATACTCTATTCGGTATACTTTAATGTTGAAAATCGTACTAACGATACATGATACTGAATTCGTGTAAAAGAAACCTTATTCATCAAAAATTTAAACTTGTTTTCGAAAGTCACGTTGCATGCGGGCTACGAACAATACGCAATTCACCTTCGAACGCGTCGGGTTGCGGTATTGCGGCTTCATTGTGTTAAAATAACGATGGTACTGGGATTGGAAACTGGTACAATGGAACTGATAAACAAAACATATTTTTTTTGTATATGAAAAAACCTGAATGTGTATAATATTTTAATCGTATAAAGATGAGGTCTTTTCATAACATAAATTGCTAAACCGAGCTTCTTTATAATTTTCTAATAAGAGACTTCATATATTCAAAGTGTTTATCGAGAGTCGAGTAGCCCGAGGAGTCGAAACGGTTGACGTCATGTAGACATGTATAAACCTCTACCACCACGACGTTCAAAGAAACTAACAAAGAACTTCTATAATATTACATTGCTCGTTTCCTTTACCAAATTCATAGCTATGATAGTTATGAAGCAGCAATGTATATAATACACTGCTCGTTTGGTGCGGTCGCCAGCGAGTTATAGTACGAAGGTGTATCGCGGTCATATAACCGGTATTCGTTGGAGCAGTCGCCACTCGGCCAGTCCGCAGTGTTCGAGTCGATGTTTTGAGAAAGCAATGTTCTGCAAGCGTTCACGTTATTATAACAAGATCGCTTTTTGAAACTCTCAGCATTCATCAGCAAATTAATGTATTTTTATTCGAGTGTTGAAATTATAATGAGTTCATTTAACATGAGGTTGTGTAAAAGGATGTAATAAGAACATATTCTACCTTTTATAATGATAATACATTTTTTCCTTTACATCGGTAATGTTACCAATGCCAAGTCTGTATTTCTCTGCCAATATCAAGAACTGGGAGATCCTTATTTAGCAAATTACAGCTTCCACATACAAGTTTTTGTCTTAGAAAATCGAAATTGGTCACGATCACCAGTCTCTCTCTGTTTTCCTAATTCACTCTTACGTACTTATACCGAGTACCGACCAACATAGTACTTTGTGGTTTTACTTTCATTTACTAATGAAAAGACTTGAAGGAAAGGAAACGTTGATTATAACGTTGTAGTATCTAAACGATATTTTCATAGCCTATTGGTAAATTACTTTTTATACAATGTTCTTTGATTACGCAACTATCACATAAATAATTGTATAAGACTCAATTTATTTCATAAGAACACGACAAAATCATAAAACATGTTGATCTCGTTACAGTTTTATGAATGAACGACTGATAATATCTTTAATCTAGCTTCTTTATGTTAACAGCTGTCTTAGCGTCAAACACACGTAAAGTGCACTATTAAAGGCCACCCCAGTCAATGACCCCATCGGAGACATTACAACTTTACCCACTGCCCTGTATACATAACACTCGCTATCAATACTTGAGTAATCTTTCTTTATTTACTTGGCGGCGAGTTTACTCTTGCTAAGAACTTGTTCATATTTTTCGTTATATACCATATGGGTTACATTTTACGATATCAGCGAAAATCAAATTGTTAATATATTAAGGTGTTCCAAGGAAATAGCAATATTCAACCAACATGTGTAGTTATTTAAATTTAATTATAACAACATTTTGTCGTGTGTATAATAAGTTATCTATATAAGTTGGTATCATATGATCGCCGTAACGCTCGTGTGTCGTTCGTCGTCGTCATCCTATGTGAGGTTCGGTCCTCTGCCGCGTGCCCGTCTACTGTGGGGGTAAGTTTTTCACGAGACCCTATATACCGCGACCACCCCTCATTCGTACATAAGGTAGTCGGGGGTGAGGGGGTGGTTCGCGCCCGCAAAAGGGGCAAAATACGGTGTACTCTGGGCGCCCGCTTTATGTGGGTCAATGTCGGGAAAGCCCGCGTCTGCTAGTGACGAAGTATGCACAATGAATCTGATCAACAAGCCCTCCACAAAACTATGGATACATATGTATGCATCTACAGACAAAACACAAGCAATGTTCAAATTAACATTTCTGTTTTAATCATCTCACATTGTTTGTTAGAGCTAAGTTATTCACTTCACGGATAATTTCTTACAAATGATTGTATCTAATCTACCACGCATTGTGAACCTAAATACTGTTCAGTACATACGGTAACGTTTTTTTTAAATTCCATGAATATTACCAGTCTTCAATATGGCCATATACTAGTCACGTATAGTGTAAGTTGTAATGTGTTTTGTATCCATGTATCCACAGTACTCACCGACAGCCGGTGACATGGATCGCGATCCACTGGAGCCGGTGGGGCTCGGTGTGGGCCTCAAGTGCGGCGTGGAAGCGCGCCCCGCGCCACCGCTGCCGCCGGAATCATTGCTGTTCTGACCGGTCAGATCCTGAAACAACAGTACGATTGGTATATTAAGATAACAGCGTGATACAATCATATGTTATATTTACATGTTGAAAGAGCCTTTGAAAGTACTCGGCTAATAAACCATAACATAAAACTATAACAATATTTAGAAAAAGTTGCTTGTCTTATATGAGATAGTCGATGCGTAGGATTCAATGTTAAAATATACCCAATAGGCACATTAATCAGCAAGGTAACGATGCCAGCATGTTTGTTTTGACATGTTGATAACGTTATCAAATTTGAAGTCCTGCAAGCGATGTGACACACGCAATAAGGAATTGACTAAGTCACTTCAAATATAGTTTTAGAAAGAAAAATTATTAAAAATAAAGAGCAAGTTGAAAAATTGACTCAAACTGCAATTTAATCATTATAATTAACTAATTGATCAATAAGGAATGGAGACTGTATTATCGTGCATATACTAACATTAATAATAAATAATAATATATATCAATACTAGAAAGACGAGACGAAAGACCGGCGAACTTCGTATCGCCCTATAATCAAGAAATATCTGTTACGTTTTTTTATTTATATTTTTGGAGTTTACCTGTAAGCCATAAATCTCCGTATTTTGAAGTGAGACAGAATGATTGACATATTAGTTAGTGGTCAAATCTAATGTCAAAAAAAAGCTTGTATCAACAACTACTAATAAATTAAAAATTAATTAAAAAAACAATGTCCAGCGGACAAAATTGTGAATCTAAACCATTCCCAGATCCCTTTGAACACACACAAAAAAAATCATCAAAATCGGTCCAGTCGTTTGAGAGAAGTTCAGTGACATACACACTCACAGAAGAATTATATATATAAAGATATAAACAAACTTTACTTTTAATATTAATAACCTTTAGTGAGCTCAAGTTCTCTCAATCTATTTAATAATATCCTACAGCAGTAACGCCTAAGAGTCCTTGTCTTTAGGTCAATGGTGAATATTATATTTGAATGTAAATAATGTATGTATGATATGTATGAACCTTGACACTGCAACCTCCGAGAGAATAACGCAATTATAACTCGGTTACATCAAAACACAGACGTGTATAATAACATCATCGCAAAATACTAAGAAATCCTCCGAACCACCGTCGAAAGAAACAAATAATTTTCAGTAACGATCTCAATACATTCACATTCCCTTTCATCCCTTTTATAGAATCAAAAGATCACAAACAACTTTTGAAAGTTAACAACTTAACGGAATAGATAAACACAATATCTGACACTACTATGAGCAAAGCTGAACTCACCGTTTCAAAGCAAGCAATGGGCCAACAGATCGTAAATCAATCTAGGGTCGCTTTCAATTGCAACGCTATCGACAACGGTACAAGCCACTGGAATATAAAGTTTGCCGTCCAAAGTAAACAGCAGCGGGGCAACTTTAAGAGCTTTATAGAATAGAGACCGAGCGGTAATAATATAAAGCGAAGAGAACGGCACGGCGAAGTAGCGCGTACACACTAGTAGAGAGAGCAGGGCGAAGGAGCCCGACGACTCTCGACGGTCGACCCCCCGCCGGCGAGCTTGGCTCGACCGAGAGAGGCTCCGGCGTCGATCACACGAGGCGCGGTGAGGGGCGGCGGGGGTCGCGGTATGAGGGTCGAGGGGTGAGGGGCGCGGGGCGCGGGCGTGGAGCGCGATAACCGCGGCGATGTTTTTGCCGTTCTCCAGCTCGCTCGTTCGGCGCAGCAAAGCGTTCTTCATTTAGTACAGAGTCCATTATCTGTATCTCCCCGTCTCTCTCCCACCACAGCCCGGGCGTCGTCGCGCTTCGCCGCACCGGCCGCTGTTTTATTGCCAGCCGACGATTTTAACGTGCGCTCGCAACGTCCGGAGCACAAAAGTTTTTATGGAAATTTCATTCCGAGTGCGGCTCACTCGCTCGCTCGCTGGCTGGGTCCGCTCGGGGACGTCGATATAAAAGCACGATAACGAACGGACGAGTCAATTAATTATTATTGTTGGAAGCTGTCGGAACGTGCTGGGCGGCTCTTTCTGGATATGTACCGAGCGCAGAGCTGAATGTGTTGTGCTAACTGATGCGGACGCATTTTATGTACATTGTATTACAGAATTCATTTGGACTGTGTGTAATCAGGCAATACATTCGCTCGCGAATACTATAATGTACATTCGTCGAATACTTTATCCGATAATAATTAAAACATAATATGAATGAATTACAATACTTTTAGGTATGAAACAATTTTTTTAAGTAGATGATTAATTTATAACCTTTTGAACATTGTTATCTCTGAAAGTACGAGCACATCTTCATCAAATAAAATTTCCTAATTACTCAGCTATTTCCGTAACGACTTGTCTGTTTATAAAAAACATGAAATATGATTAGATGATTCTTAACAAGGTATATTAAGTCCTTAACAAGAACATTGTGGGGTTTGTTATTTTTCCCACAATAATAGCTAAAGTTGAACACATAGATAGCATATATGTATTATATAACGTATTACGTGTGTAACTAGTTTTATATGGTAACGTTATAGAGTACAGATATCTCTTATCTCGTACCCGTCGATGGTTAATCTAATGGGGCTAGGTCAGTTGTACGGTTTAGAGGGTACGGGAGGTATTTATAAATAGGAAGCGTGGCTCCAGTAATCTACATAACTAGATGATCGCCTTTACAGCGCCGTGCTTCTGCATCGTCTGATACAACGCTCCATTTTGCATACATTTATGTATGTTTATAGAACCATCTGTGTTATGTTTGATCAGGTGATTGATTATATTCAAACTCGTAAGATTGATAATTTTATTTAAAAACACTATATTACATACACTAATAGTACGTGAACTTCTACATATATGTATAGATTGTCTTCATAATGAAAAGCCATGAAACTAACAGACAAAGGATCATCATCATTTTTGGATGCAGTAGTTTTATGCATTTTGTATGTTATATTATAAATTATTAATTTGTGTTGTTTTTATTAATTAGTGTTTTTTTTTTGTAGATGTAATTTAATTTAATTAAGATTAAGGTGTCGTTGTTAAAAACTTTTTAGACAATGCTGTGAACACCTGTAATAGGTGTACATATGAAGACCTTTACTTTTGGCTATATTTTTTGTGTAAATGTGGCATATGTGTACTGTTGGTGTTCCTAAGTAAATAAATAAAAATAAAAAAATATTATGATATTTCCTAACAAGATTGCTCAACTACCACAACTGCATAACTTTCAAATAAAACGCTCGTCTAACGAAACGTTAAAACAAGACTGTGTCACGTTAACATCCTTATGTATGTATGTAGTATGTCACTAGAACACGTATGAACAGATTAATCGTCGTTAAATCGCTCCAAGATCATTCGTGAGTTCGTCGACCTGCGTGTGAAAATGTTGCCTCGTAAATAAATAATTCACAAGGCTGGCTGATGTGGTGTAGTGTAGTATAGTACAGTGTAGTGTTGTGTTGTGTTCTCGGTGTATGTGAGCACGTGGCACGAGGCACTCGGCTGGCGTCGGTGCGATCATCTCACGTGTTGTACGTCCATACGTAAACATTAACATTACATAACCGGCCCGTCATCAACGACCCGAGAGCCGACAGTGAAATGCCTCCTCTCCTCTCAGCCGTGCGCCCTAAACGCAGGCCTCCGCCAATTATTGAGAGCGAACTACAAACGTGCCCATTTTGCACTTGTCTACGCGGCTGTACTAGTTTCTGCGAACACTGTTGCACTTTGACGATAGACGATTGTTTTCACTTTCTATTTTGAATCGAGTTAAAAACGAAACCGAACCTTTGTCTACGTTTTATCTGACGCACCGTACGGATCGATATTATCACGAAAACTGAAGCAATAAGAAAACTATTACGCTCGTAACTGACAATATAACGCTTGATTAAAAATTGTAATACTTACAACTTATTTAATAACACGAATGAGTCACGGACCTGAACGATTTACACTTTAAAATTATTATTTACATTCCTTGTTTTTTACACAATAAGTTGAAAATAAGTTAACAAAATATTGTATAGATTTAATTAAATAAGTTAAAATTATATACATTTTCTTAGAAATGAAGTCGAGTACGCAGACTTAAGAAATTCTCAATAACCGAATAATTGCTTAATGAATCTGATGACATAATTATCTAAATACACTTCTAAAAACATTATCTTAATTGATATCATACAAAATAATCTATAATAGCTGTTGTTTGAAGTTCATATATCTTTGTGTGTGTGTTAAATTAGTTTGTCAACACGAGTCAAGTGTTATTTTTATTGAATCTCTTTATAGGCCACCTGTTAGTAGGGTCGAGGGAGACAGCTGATCGACCCGTACTGAATTATTATAATTGCCGAATGCCGTCTCTGCTTGTACGTTTGAGGGGAAAGCAGCGGAGGGTAACAACAACTTTGATTTCTTTAATTAATCGTCTAAAACTACTACAGGCCATACAACATTACGTCAATATTGATCAAACTATTTGAGCTCGTGATCCTGTTACGTTTTTTGTTTATTTGATATTACGAAACCGAAATCAAAAGCTATCGATAGGCTTTTTTAACGTTTTTATATTCCAATCCTTTGTTAATAAAAACAGTAGTTGAATAACTGCAATGATACATTCAGAGTCAAATTTGCCATGAAATCACAACTCACTGTCAGAACAAGTCATAAATCCATCAAAATATATGTCGATTATAAAGTTTAATAGAATCAAATTTTATACATACATATTATATAAACTGAACTTAGATTAAAATACGCAATTAATACAAGAAAAAATACTAAATAAGCCGTGTGAATGATGAATATAAAATCAAAATAATCATTCAGCGTTGAGGTACGGACGGTCGGGCAGCGTGTTGTCATTTGACGGTTAAAACAAAAAGAAAATGACACCATCGTGATGATGAGAGCACGAGAGTCATCAGGTCCGTCCAAATGAGCTTGTGTCAGAGAGGTCCGGGGACT